AAATCACTACGACTAATTGAGTGATTAATGAAGACAGGGACGGTAAATACTTTTATTAAGATAAATTAAGATAAAAACGGAATAAAATGGAATTTTTGCTGAAAATTTTATTGATCAAAAAAAAAACAAAATAAAATAAAATTAATTTTAATTGGCTTTTTTTTTTTAATATCGGAATAAAATGGAATATTTAATCGGAAGAATTCATCATCTTTGTTTGAAGAACGACTGGCTAACAACACAAAAAAAAAAAAAAAAAAAAAAAAAATCTGCACCTCCAGATTTTAATAGATTTAGAGTGTGTGCGAATAGTGATTGAGATGAAGCTTGATCGAAATAAGTAGCTGTGCGACGCAGTCGCGCTAAACCAGGAACTGATGAATGAACGTATAACTAATCTAGATGGTCTGATTTAGAAATGTTAGATAGTTCAGATACGAATTAATTGTATTGATCTTTAATTATTGCATAACTTTGCCTTTGTTGAGATTTGTTTATCAAATTTGTAATAATATCAACATAAATAAGTAATCAAAGATTTTGCCTCTCATCAAAGGAATGTTTACAAAACAATTAAACTATAATCATGGTATTCTGTTCCTCCGCCTTTTGTACAAATACATACTAACAATATAGATTTGATTGAATAATCTACACATAATTCTAAATACTACTGCTTACCTTAAATATCGTCCCGACAGCAACTTTTGAAAGGTGGAAGAAAATCAGACAATTCTATCTGGAAAAACCTTATTTCTTTTTAAATACCGTACTAACCTAACTTGGACAAGTCTATATGAGTGCCGCCAAGGGAAACCTGTCATCAGACTTTCAATAATATTTTGTGTACAGTTAGCCGTCTATGGAAAATCTATTATTATGATAGATTTTCCATAGACGACTAACTGCACACAAGAAAGTCCGCTGACAGGTTTTCTCTTGGCAGCACTCATATACAATAAAAAATACATCATTTGATACTTTCATATCAGGCAGCTAATAAACTCGCAAATTACGTATGCAGTATTCATGAATAACCAGTTGCGAATCAAAGAAACGCATAAGGATAGTGAATTTTCCAAACAGCCTAGTTTTCTACCGATAGTGGTAGGTGTAAGGCATATTAGTATCTAATAATAAAGTTTGCGATGATTTAAAGTTAACATATCGTTAGCATATCGTTAGCATATTGGTATCTACCCTTACATATTATTGATTTAACAGTGGCAGATACCTACTGCTCACATCACTAGATAGTCGCGCTTTAATAATTCGGTCGCCACTGGCCATTTTTTTTTTTTTTTGTACACTACATCTCGCTTTTAGGTGTGAATAAAGATATGGCGCAAAATTGCAAGTTTTATCTGATTACGATTGTACGTACAGTACGTACCAAATACGTATCGATATTATCTTTATAGGGTATATTATGTAAATCTAATGTCATTTACTATTTTGATTGGTCATACGCAAATTGATGAATAATAAGTAGTTTTAGCCAATCAGCATTAACAAAAAAAATCGGTAAATTTTTTTTTCAGAGAAGTGGCAACCCACTCGAACAGTTTTTTCGACTCCCATTTATTTAGACGTTTGAGAACACCCTTATTCATCGAAATTATAATCACTTGGTTAGTTTATTCAATTTTGACTAATTGACAGAGTAAATACGAATGCTTTTTTAACTAAAATTAGAAATCTTTCATACTATGTATAAAACTGAAGCGAAAAAATAAAAATAATAAATATCGAAGCAAGTAATTTAATAACATTCGCTTACATAATTAAGCACAGAAATCTTAAAAGTGATAAAAATTTATATTAATAAATATAACCTCGAGTACGTGATGATAAAAAAATTGGAGTTCTTTTATTTTGGATAAATATGGGCGGTTTGTATAATAAAATTGATCAAGAAAAACTCTTTTGTACCTTCTTAATATATATATATTAAAAATAAACCGGTTGATTTTCCTGATCATATTTGTTTACATGTTATACATTGAATTCAGTGTTGGGTTAGATTCAAGACCAGACTAGTCTGGTCAAAAATTTTAATATTGGTAAATACAGTATATAATATACGTATATTATTATTTATATTAATCTTTGTATAGTATAGCAAAACTATCTAATTAATAAATCTGACTATTTGACCAACCAGCGATTCTTTGACCATTGACCAGTAAATTTTAGTTAACAATAGGTTTAACAACTACTTGTTGGCTAAGCTAGGAACAATATACCAATATTGATTAACTTTTCAAATTCAAATACATAACTGATTTTTTGGGGCGACATTAGAGTTTTGCTAAGGTTTCTTCATTTGCTGGGTTTGTCGTTTCTCTTTTAGCCACTTTCACAGAGGTTTCTTCTTTTTGCGCTTAGGTTTCGTCTCTCACCAAGCAATTATGGTTCCCAGGGTTTTAATTGATGAAAACTGAGAAAAAAAAAAAGCGTATAAGTTAATGAATATTGAATTTATAATAAAGTAATATTATGAAACTTTCATATAATAATAAACTGCCGAAAGTACAATTGAATTTTGTAAACATAACTTATTTTTATGGCGATACTTCATTCGTATTCAAGCTGAAATTTCATAATAAATTTGCTGCCTCTCTTAACGTGCTAACTTAAATGATAATCAATAGATACCACACTGAACAATTGATATATGCACACAAAATTTGAAATTTTAAGTGTTGATAAATGTGTGCAAATGTTAAGAAAAGATTCAATTGTAGAGTATCAACCACCCACCACGTTCCCAAGATTTTTTCGTTGGCCATAGACCAAAGTACAATGACAAAATTAAACACGGATATTACTGTATTAAGTGAAAACGCGAGAATTAAGTTCAGTAATATATAATACGTAATATTTATTAATTAACGTTATCTGAGATTGTTGGGATATCAATTATCATAATAGACATGTAACAACAGCAAAGATCACTCAGCTAAGGTTCATTAATAAATAAATTTGATTCGCATTTTTCGGCATTTGAAGCGAATCATAAGGAAGGATCGCGTACCTTCCCTATTGCTACTAAGTAAGAATTATGTTTCATTGTCCAATATTTTACGATTACCAAGTCTGATGAATACTCGACCGAACTTTACAACTTCATTGACTTTTCGCGCTACTTTTTATCAAATTTTGGTTCTTTGCATATTAAAATTAATAATAAAGCCAATAAAACGCCGGGTTTTATGTCACAAAACCAGGTGAAAACCGGATCCATGACAAAACCACATTACAACGTTTTTTATACTGCCAAGAGTATAATCAGAATTTTTAGATTAACCTTATAACTGGATCTTTACGGTTAGTTTTTTCGAGGCAAAGACTCAGAGTTGGATATACATTCTGGATAACGATAACGATAAATTATCTAGCCAATAAGCTACGAGTCATATTGATCAATCAACACGTGAAAATTAACCAACGTAAATTCTGTAATTTCTTAATACAATAAATACGTATAGGAACGTTTACCACAAAAAAAAATTTTCGAAATTCAAATTTGAATTACATTTTCATGCATTTATTATTTTTTTTTTTATTATATTACTATTTTTTTTTTATAATACCATTTTTTAGATTAGCCCATTTTCACCGATTAAAAGGCGAATGAAAAAAAAGAAAAAAAAATCAAATTTTTGTTATAGTTTTTGAAGTACTATTATAAATAGCACAAAAGATGCAAAAAAAAAAAAAAAAAAAAAAAAAAAGGAAAAAAAATAAGAAAAAACAAATGCAAAGAAAAAGCTGTACAATTTACATGAGTTTGTTTTGCTTGATGAAAAAAAAAAAAAAAAGGAAAATGAGAAATCACACTGACATACTGTATACTCTATGTTTGTATTCGAATAAATGCTACACATCCATATAAAAGCTCTACCATAATCAAATGGTATTTTAAATAATCTATATAATAAATTACAAAGAATTACCAGTATATTGCCCATACGAATGATATCACAGATCTTTTTTACCCTTTACACTTTCAGCGTGTTCTCATATATTAAATCTGGAGGCTCAGTTATGTAATTACTGGAGAATGAATTAGCTCCTAAACTATCATTTTTACGGTGTCCCGTTACGTTCTTAGTATTAAAAGTTGTAGGTTTTTTGATCACAATCTCTTCACTCAATGAAAACACTAAAAAATAAATAACAATTAATTAATTAATTAATTAAGGAATGAAAACCGATATTAAGTTTGGATTGTCCGCGAGTTACGTTTTTGATAAAAATACCCCGATCACTATATCAAGATCACGGGGTATTTGGTAAAAATACCCTGATCCGTATGTGTAACTTCGTTTCCGCTAATACCCAACGGCTCAGGATATTAATATCACATCGCGTGGACACTCATCAGACAATTAAAATTATGAAAAAACATACATTCATTGGAATCATTAAAATTAATAGAATCAGTATCAACATTTCCATTATAAACGGTTCCATTGACATTATTATTAGCACTATGAATTATCCCATTACTAATAGATGATGTATTAAAATTATTGGTTGGTACTATGGACGTAGACGTTTTACTATCAGTTATGTCAGATGAACCTTGTACACCATTTGGCCCATTTGATAGATGATTAGCAGAAGAGTGATTGTGGCCACTAATCCTCTTTGCAAAAAAACGCCTTTTGGTTGTACTTGGGGTGGTGGTCACTTGTGTTTCAGTATTAGAAGAATTCATCGAAGACATATGTGGATGATTGTTTAATGAAGTTTGTATTGTTGTATTGCTAGTAGGTGCAGCTGAAGGAGTTGTACTTGATGAAGAAGCCGAAGATTTTATAATATCAATTTGCGAAGTACCATTAACTGAAACTGATTCAGATGAAATTACATTTCCAGCCAAACGATCCAATCCCCCATCTTTTAAATTGGAATTGGTGGGAACTGTTTGGACACTTTTACGAAAGAAGACACCTCTCTTTGAAGATGGTTTTACGACCATTGAACCACAATGAGTTGTGTCACTCAAACTACCACTCTGTATAGTAGCATCTTGCGTAGAATGTTTTGACATTCGTGTGGCAGATGTTTCATGAGCATTTTTAACAGAACTAGGAGCAGTATTCTTTCTATTAACAATGTTATTATTATTATGATTATGATTATTATTGTTATTATTATTATTATTATTCGTATTGTTCACTCTATTGCGGAAAAGTGAGCCAGCCCATTGTTTCGCCCAGCCAATTCTTTGTCTGACAGCTCTATAAAAAAATTTATTAATAAAGTTAAATGTAAAAATAAAATAAATAAATACCGATAAATAAAATAAATAAAACAAATAAATAAATAAATAAATCTGCGAACCTTTTAGCCATGGTTACATTAACTTTACCAGAGTTTTTCATCAAGAACAACATAGCACAGTTACTCGCAAATAATAAAACAAGGAATAGATCAAAAGAGCAAAATCTGAGCATAAACAGGTAAAGGGTAAATAGCATTAAAACTTTACGACGTTGTTTGACAAACGAAATTTCACGTAATACTAATAATTAAATAATAATTAAATAATAATTAGAGAATAATCAATAATAAGAACAAATAATAATTACAATAGTAAAAAATATAACGAACCTGCAAATGAAGCTTTTTTTGAGGCTTTTGTATCAACTTCAGGATAAGTTAATAAATCTATAAATTGCAACGGAATATCTAATATCGTCTGATTCTTATTATTTGAAGTACTTGCAGTAGCATGATTCTGTTTTGGAACAGAATTAGCACCTTCAATCGGGGGAGTCTCAAACCAACCCATTAAAGAATCCATTAAAGTACATCCTATAGATAACCATTCATTTACATTATTATTATTAGAATTATCAGCATTTTCGACATCGACATGTTCATCAACAGCAGCTTCACCATCCGAACTATCAGAATCCGGATAATCAGATTGATTTGCGGGAAACTCTAATCTTTCAGGAGATTGACTAAAGGATTCTTGATCCATAGAAGTCGTAATATTTGTTTTCTCATTTATTATAGCGTTATTAGATTTAGTAGAAGCTGCTGATGAATTGCTACTTATGTTGTTTGTAGTCGAAATTAAGGGATAAGGGTCATCATGATAATCCAATTCAACAGAAGAATTTCCATCTGGTGATATCGAAGTATCCGAAGCATACTCATCAACTTCTTCAAGTGTGATCTATAAAAAAAAAAGAAATTTTTTTTAATTATAATTTACTGCAAGATATGAATTTGCTACTAATTGTGAGACATACATTTTTATTATTTGAACACCATATCTTTAGTTGTTTTAATATCTTTTTTACCGTCTTTTTACCCTCCACCCCAGATATAACTTCTTGATGTAGTAAATCAAACGCTTCTTTAATTTGATTAAAGTCGTTATGATTAGCGACTATCGAAAAGAGAAAAAAAGAAATTTATTGTTCAGTTAAATTAAAAAATGATCAATTATTATATATATGAAAAATATATAAAAATATACCTCGATAATGTGGAAAACCCTTTGTAATTATTCGATATTCTGACGCGTTACTTCGTTTTGAATTATTATTTTGGTGTTGTGGACCTTTTTGTAGCAAAAAATAGGGAGATTCTCTAATCGTTTTCCAATTAGACCGGCCCAAGCTACCAACCAAACTAGGTCCAACAAACATTAGTCCAAAGTTTTATTTTGAAGAGTATAATTTTTGAAAATGGCTCGTATTTTATTATAAAAGCAGATGAGTATATACAAGGGTAATGTTATTACAGACAGATGGAAGGAGATCAAGGGAATCTTTCGTAAAGTAGACGGCTGTTAAAAGACCAAGAACGTTGATTGAAGCGTTGATTGAAATGGGGAATCAAGGTTTTTTCGGAGGTCTTCTTTTTTTTTTTTTTTCTTGTTACACGCTATTGAATCGGCGGTGGTATTAAGGTTAATCGGTCGTCACTTGAAGACACGATAAACTTTGACTTTCAACACCGCTACCGAACAATAACGAAAAGCGTTTCCTTTATCGAAAAGAACCTTGATTGTTTTGAAACTCTAGAACCAATCCTCAACACATAAATATTAAAAAAAAAAAACAGGCATAAAAAAATAAAGGGCACAAAGACGATTATTAATCGAATTAACGAATTAATATTTATGATAGGTGGGGTCAAACATTAAAGGAATGAAATTTTAGCGATACCGATACGTCTTAATTGCCTATAAAAATGCTATAAAGCAACACAAGCAATAAATAACAGTAGGAAACGATATTAATATAATTTAACGTTTTATCATATGCGTTACAAATTTATAAACTGTTTATAGAAATTGCCGAGTACAGTACAATGATGATATGATATTTATAAATGATAAAAATGATAAGTGGACAATTCATAAAGATTGACAAAAAAAATGTGACCCCTCAAATATTTAAATATTGTATAATCTGCTGACTTTTTTTTTTAACACAAAACAAAAAATTTTTAAGTTACCATAAATAGGAAATATCTTTTTTAAGAAGGATAAAAGTAAGACCATTTAGCGCTTTGAACGTGCAATTAAAGATAATCAAACTGTATTACAGCACTTACGCATATGAAAATTGTGGTTGGCCACGTTTTTTATTAATATATTTAAATGTAAATTTTTTTTGAAATTTTTGCTTAATATTTCAGTATTTTGTCGATGCATTTTTACATAATTTAATTCAATGAAATGAGGTTTGATCATCTTTATTGGTTTTTTTTTTTTTTTTTTTTATGTTATATTTTTAGAACAATATTATTTTATAAAAATTTTAATAACAAATAGCGTCTAACGTTAATGCGTCTAATAGCCTACTATAAGATATATAATGGTTTATATACATTTTACAGTAATTTAAAAATCATTCTAATAGGTAACTCTTTCAAATTATGGCATTATTAAAAAAAGCGGTAATATCAATACAACAAAATATACATCAAAATATATAATATACATATTTACAAGAAGTAAACCGGAACTTGCGCGAAATTTTAATTTTTTTGTGATCGATTACAGATTAGCTGTCCTCCATAAATTCCTACTTCGCCCCCCGCTTTATGGTAATCTTTTATCCTTTTGTTATTCAAACAATGAAACTTTACGTAAATGACGCAGAAACTAGTATAAATAGAGTCTTTTTACTACATAACAACTATTGTGCATATATCTGTACATCACTATGTTCCTACATACGTACATACAAAGTTTTATCATTATCGTTATGGAAATCAGAAATCGATACAATGTGATATCATTATTGCCATATTGATATAAACTTTACTGACCTATTTCTGTAAATTTCAGTATATATTTCTGTAATCAACCGTTGTACAAGTTCTGAATTTATTATGTATCATATATATAGTAATTAATTATGTATATATTATCATTATGCAAAGTACCTATCGCCATCATTTTTTTAGACAAAAAAATATATCCATCTATCCGATATTATTGTTTTATTTATATAATATTTTTGTGTATCAAATGAATAACTAAGATGTAAATTGTCGGATAAGGTGTAACCTGTCAATCGGTCACCAAAGACGCCTTAGTCATTATCTGAGACACCTCAGTTATCGTCAGAGAAGACAACGATTATTTTTCTGAGTTACTATTGGTTGTCCCTTCATACAATTTTGATTGATATGCAAATTGATCAAATAAAATAAAGCTAATGTTAATAAATACAGAAATTAGGCGCATGTTTTGAATTTTTTAATGCTAATCCGGCATTTAAGAAGATATCCTCCAGAAAATTCCTTATGAAGCAATAAATATTACTGTACGTATAGCTTGTATAATTAAACTTTTATTTAATAAAAATTTTTACGCAAAACAATATAGGCATGAATTAATTAACACTATATAAATATACATATACATACATTTTAAAAGAGAGTTATTATTATTCACGCCAGAATAATAATAATTTGGTTTAACTAGTGCTTTCTAGAATTTGTGTTAATCCCATTATCATTTTGATTTATTTCGTCTAACCAATAGTCCATAGTAGCAGTTGTCATTTATTAGATTCATTATCCATGCATCTACTGTATTAGCTAATCTAACATAAAATTCCAATGTATGAGTATATTCAGGTCTTGTCCCTTCTTCTGTCATGATCTGAGACTGTAAATATTAGATGATAATTCATATAAGATTGACCTAGCAGAACTTCAGATGCTACAGTAAATAAAGCATAATAATTTCATAAATTGTTGAAAGACCAAGATCTGTGACGTAAGCACTATCTATTACTGTATTAATTTGCAAAATTATCTTTTGATATTATAAATTATTTTATATTTAGTTAAATATGTATTAAAATTTTTTTATTTGAAGTTTTAAAAATTTTATTATACATACATTAATTTATATTTTTAATAAATCTTTAATTGTTAAATTTTAAATATCGTGTTTGTGCGTAATTGCTGCCGGGCGTTAATTTGAATTTTGCCTTTTTCAAAAAATTAGTTAAATTAGTAATAGATATTTCACGGGCTGATGTGAATATGATGGATTAGCAAAGCGGAGCCGTGGGATATCTCAAAATATCGCCCATGCGCGTCCTGAAATAACGCGCACCCGCCTTAATTAGCTGCTCGATATGAGTTGATCACGGATGTATTTGAATTGATCAGTTGATGCATTATCGTGATGATTTCGTAGTATTTAAGGGGGATCGGATTTTTTCTCTGATAAAGTAATCCAAGATTTGGCAGTCCGCTTAAAAGCTAATGACCTGTCAGGGCGATAGTCATTTCTTATTTGTTTTAGAATTATGGCCTGTTGGATGACAGTCATAATTTGAATTTTTGAAGTGGAAGTGGCTGACAGTCACGAAAGAATTCTCGCATTTAATAGCCTAGTAGTTTTGATTTATTTGATAATCAGCAGAATTTTTTCAGACAAATATATATATATATTTTTTACCCCATCAAGTAGCTGTCGTATTACCACTCATGGTGAACAGTAACATTATGCGTAGATTGTCTATTCGATACTCTCAAATTCTGCACTATTAGTAGGTGTACAACAAAAGCGAAAGAACAGAATAACTTTAGACAAATGTGTTTTTTAATAGTTTGTTTGAAATTCTGTTGCTAATCTAGTTATTATATTATGAGATTAAAAAAAAAATCGCATTCTTGCTTAAAATAAGGTATATGCGCACTTCAAAATGACACGCAGGGATCCAAAATAAAATACAAGGGGACGTTATTATGATAAAATATTTTAACTTATCAGTTAGAGAATAAGTTATATCTATTTATTTATAGTCGCACCCTTCTAAGTGCACGCCCTCGACCATAGTAAAAAAGTGCATTTAGAGGGAATGTATACTGTATTTTGAGACAAAGAGAGGTGTGTACTTAGAAGAGTTTTTCATATACTGTATGTATCGTGTACTTAGGAGTGTGCACTTAAAGGGATGTAGAGACGTGAACTGTGAATTACAGTACATATAAATAAACTGTAGTTTATTTTAAAACTACAGTTTTACAATAAACT